AAATTAGAATTGTTTTAAAAATGAGAAATCTAGGGACATTGCCGAGCGAGCCGAAGGCGAGTTCGGCACAAGCCTTAGGCAAAGTAGTTGAGTTTAAGCAAGCGAAGTGCCCATAGCAAGGTTCTCAACCTGCCTAGGTTTGCCAAGCAAGCCGAAGCTCTGAAATTATGATTTTTTAACAACAAAGCAAACTAGATTTGCTAAAAAATGAGACATCTAGAGATATTGCCGAGCGAGCTGAAGACAAGTTCGGCACAAGCCTAGGCAGAATAGTAGCCTCTCAACTTTTCGGCCTTCGCTCTCTGAAATTATGATTTTTGGCAACAGAGCAAACTAGAATTGCTTAAAAATGAGAAATATAGGGACATTGCCGAGCGAGCCGAAGCCGAGTTCGGCACAAGCCTAGGCAGAATAGTAGCCTCTCAGCTTTTCGGCCTTCGCTCTCTGAAATTATGATCTTTGGCAACAGAGCAAACTAGAATTGCTTAAAAATGAGAAATCTAGGGACATTGCCGAGCGAGCCGAAGACAAATTCGACGCAAACCTAGGCAGAGTGGTTCAGCTTAGGAAAGAGAAGTGACCATAGTTAGATTCTCATCTCTGCCTAGGTTTCCCGAGCAAGCCGACGTTCTGAAAGTATGATTTTTAAGTGCAAAGATTTGCTTAAAAATGAGACATCTAGAGATACTACCGAGCGAGGCGAAGGCGAGTTCGGCACATACCTAGGCAGAATAGTAATCTTTCAACTGTCCCGCCTTCGCTCTCTGACATTATGATTTTTGGCAACAGAGCAAATTAGAATTGCTTTAAAAATGAGAAATCTAGGGACATTGCCGAGCGAGCCGAAGACGAGTTCGGCACAAGCCTTAGGCAAAGTAGTTGAGTTTAAGCAAGCGAAGTGCCCATAGCAAGGTTCTCAACCTGCCTAGGTTTGCCAAGCAAGCCGAAGCTCTGAAATTATGATTTTTTAACAACAAAGCAAACTAGATTTGCTAAAAAATGAGACATCTAGAGATATTGCCGAGCGAGCTGAAGACAAGTTCGGCACAAGCCTAGGCAGAATAGTAGCCTCTCAACTTTTCGGCCTTCGCTTTCTGAAATTATGATTTTTAGCAACAGAGCAAACTAGAATTGCTAAAAAATGAGACATCTAGAGATATTGCCGAGCGAGCTGAAGGCAAGTTCGGCACAAGCCTAGGCAGAATAGTAGCCTCTCAACTTTTCGGCCTTCGCTTTCTGAAATTATGATTTTTAGCAACAGAGCAAACTAGAATTGCTTAAAAATAAGAAACTTAGGGACATTGCCGAGCGAGCCGAAGCCGAGTTCGGCACAAACCAAGGCAGGGTATTAATCTCTTAACTTTGACGCATTCGCTCTCTGAAATTACGATTTTTGGCAACAGAGCAAACTAGAATTGCTTAAAAATTAGAAATCTAGGGACATTGTCGAGCGAGCCGAAGCCGAGTTCGGCACAAACCTAGGCAGAGTAGTAGCCTCTCAGTTCTGCCGCCTCCGCTCTCTGAAATTATGACTCTTAGCAACACAGCAAACTAGAGTTGCTTAAAAAGAGAAATCTAGGGACATTGCCGAGCGAGCCGAAGGCGAGTTCGGCACAAACCTAGGCAGAGTAGTAGCCTCTCAGTTCTGCCGCCTCCGCTCTCTGAAATTATGACTCTTAGCAACACAGCAAACTAGAGTTGCTTAAAAAGAGAAATCTAGGGACATTGCCGAGCGAGCCGAAGGCGAGTTCGGCACAAACCTAGGCAGAGTAGTAGCCTCTCAGTTCTGCCGCCTCCGCTCTCTGAAATTATGACTCTTAGCAACACAGCAAACTAGAGTTGCTTAAAAAGAGAAATCTAGGGACATTGCCGAGCGAGCCGAAGGCGAGTTCGGCACAAACCTAGGCAGAGTAGTAGCCTCTCAGTTCTGCCGCCTCCGCTCTCTGAAATTATGACTCTTAGCAACACAGCAAACTAGAGTTGCTTAAAAAGAGAAATCTAGGGACATTGCCGAGCGAGCCGAAGGCGAGTTCGGCACAAACCTAGGCAGAGTAGTAGCCTCTCAGTTCTGCCGCCTCCGCTCTCTGAAATTATGACTCTTAGCAACACAGCAAACTAGAGTTGCTTAAAAAGAGAAATCTAGGGACATTGCCGAGCGAGCCGAAGGCGAGTTCGGCACAAACCTAGGCAGAGTAGTAGCCTCTCAGTTCTGCCGCCTCCGCTCTCTGAAATTATGACTCTTAGCAACACAGCAAACTAGAGTTGCTTAAAAATGAGAAATCTAGGGACATTGCCGAGGGAGTCGAAGGCGAGTTCGGCACAAACCTAGGCAGAGTAGTAGCCTCTCAGTTCTGCCGCCTCCGCTCTCTGAAATTATGACTCTTAGCAACACAGCAAACTAGAGTTGCTTAAAAAGAGAAATCTAGGGACATTGCCGAGCGAGCCGAAGGCGAGTTCGGCACAAACCTAGGCAGAGTAGTAGCCTCTCAGTTCTGCCGCCTCCGCTCTCTGAAATTATGACTCTTAGCAACACAGCAAACTAGAGTTGCTTAAAAAGAGAAATCTAGGGACATTGCCGAGCGAGCCGAAGGCGAGTTCGGCACAAACCTAGGCAGAGTAGTAGCCTCTCAGTTCTGCCGCCTCCGCTCTCTGAAATTATGACTCTTAGCAACACAGCAAACTAGAGTTGCTTAAAAATGAGAAATCTAGGGACATTGCCGAGGGAGCCGAAGGCGAGTTCGGCACAAACCTAGGCAGAGTAGTAGCCTCTCAATTCTGCCGCATCCGCTGTCTGAAATTATGATTTTTAACAACTAGGACTAAAATTGTGCACCACTACCGTTGCCGTGTTTCTCAAATATAATAATTTGCTCGTCAGTGGCGTGCTGTATTCCAGTGCCGTATCAAACTTCCGTTTTTTTTTAATGGAAGACTCCATTTTGTATTGATTTCTACCAACTACTGTCCTCTTTCACTTTCCCTTACTAAAATCGGTTATAATTCTTCATATCTCTAGAATTAATTACCGGGTGAGAGTACTTACAAAGACAAAAAATGGCATGGGGGGCTTAAGACTTTCGAATATCTCGAAAACGGGGTGTCGGAGGAGGGTACTTCCAAAGGCGAAAATTGAACATCTGGACAAGACATACCTAAGTGTTAACATATCAAGAACTGAGTGTGGAAAATGCATACTTTCCTCGAAAACGACATAAACAATATTAGATTATGCCGCATAGCTCAACAAGAAAAAGAAAGCGATGGTCTTGCCCGAGATTCCGAGAATTTGACTGTAAAATTGTCTTCGATCTATTGAAAGTGCTGCATTGTTATTCAAATGCGGATTGCCAAGAATTTTGCGGTTTTAATTCGTCGTCGTAAATAACTCGACGATCAAACGCCCTTTTTGATTGGTGATCGGGCGCCATTTCGCGCAATGTTACACGAGGCTTAATAATTTTATCATTTTTCCGTTATGATAACCTCCTCGCGCGTTAAATTTTAGTAGGACAGCGCACCTTGCATTACAATCACCTTCGTCGATAATGCCAAGTTCAAAGATTAACCGATGCTTGACCAACTTTTCGTTTGAATAAACAATTTTGTTTAACCTTGCGCCGAGCGCCTATTTAGGAGTCGTTAGTAGCGGTGAAAATTCTTCGCCGTTTCCGCTCGAGGTGTATTATTGAGTAATGGCCGGGGGGAGACGCTTACGCAATTTATCGGATCGGGTCCTTTTTATTTTCGTGTACGTCGAGAACCGGATCAGCTTCCTATCGGATCGAGATGCTCCTCACGCTCCACTACTTCTTTTTGCACCACTCTCCTGCACATCCGCCGCCTGAGTTTCACTTCGGCGCAAGGTGCACGGGTTCAGTTCTTCGTCGGTCATTGAAATCTGATACATGCGGGTGTCGTTCGCTTCGCTTTGAATATGTGTATAACCTCCGAGGGGGTGCAGTTGATCTTGGCCGGTTTGTACATGCTCTACGTGATTTTCGGCCGGGTTCCCTTTAGTGGTTGGTGCAAGAAAGGTGCGCGTTAAGCGTTAGTGACAAACATGCCTACGACAACAAAGTTTGCGCCCAAAGTCTACGACGCCCCCAAGAAACCGGCGGCGCTCGTCAAAAAACCAGTGTCGAACTCGGTCAAAGTGCGCGTCAATTCCGAACACCACTACGCAAATCTCAACTACCCCTCCCGCCCCAAAAACGTAACCGTAGTCCAGGTGCCCTTCCAGAACAACAAGCTTCAATCCGCCATCAAAAACTTCGACCAAATCCTCAACGAGTACACCGCGAAAAAATCGATCCCCAAGCTGCAAAAGTCGCGAACTTGCAGCATCATCGAGTCGCGTTGCGTCCTCAAACCCAAAGACTCCCCCAGCAAGAACTTCCAGAGCCTCGAGAACCTTGCCAAAACCCCCCAACCGCCCGCCTGCAACCGAGTCAAAGTGCAAGAAATCGTTCGCAAAATCAACGGCGCGACGCCACCCAAACCCAAACTCTCCCTCCCGCGGGCGGTGAGCACCATCGATATCTCGCAGAAGCGCAGCCGAATCCCGGTGAAATCTCCCCTGAACCGCACCTTCCCGAGTACTCCCACCGGTCTAAACCACTTAGACCGCCGATCGGGCAGTACGACGAACCTCACCGCGAAATCGCGCCCCGAGCTCGCGAAAGCGAGAAGCGTGCACAATCTCGCCAAACCTCCCCTGCCGAAAAAGAACTCGTTCGGCGCGAAAAAGTACGAGCCCAAATTCGTCGCGCCGAAGATCGTCGAGAGCAAACCGAAGGAGGATTACAGCTCGGACGATTCGGGTAACATCTCGAACGAGCTCGTCGCCGACCTAAGCAGTCTCACGTCGTCGAGCCGAAACAATTCGGTCGAGTCGATACCGCGACTCGACGTCTCGAAAGATCGTAGCATCGAGGAGGAGGAGGTTTTTTTTTGTCGCGTCGTGGCGAGCGGATTTGACTAACGTCGGTGTTTTTTTGCAGATATTCTTCCGGAGCGGCGTCCTGACGCACTTGGAGTCGCAGCGAGATGAGCGTCTCGCGGGTATGATAGTGAATCTCCAGGCGCAATGCAGAGGGTATCTTTCGAGGAAGAAGTTGAGTCAGAGGAAGCTGCAGGACTTGGCCGTGAGATGTATACAGAGGAACGTTCGGAAGTTTATTGCCGTCAGGGATTGGCCGTGGTGGAGGTTGCTCGTCCGAGTGACTCCCTTACTCAACGTCCACCGGACTGAGGAGGAATTGAAGAATAAATCGGTAAGTTTATATTTTATGCGTTTTTGTTTCTTGAAAAAATAAAAATGTTTTTTGAAATTCTAAAAAAACTGCTCAAGCACTAAATTATTTTCAAATTTTTGAAATGGAATTTTGCATACGAAAATGTTTTTTTTGTATTTTTAAAACCTTTTCTTGAGTAAAGATTTTATTTTAAAGAAAATAAGTTACTTTTTAGAATTTGCAAAATGTGATACAAAATATTTTTTAAATTTTTATTTTATTACAAATAAAGGGTTTCTGTGATTTTCAAATTGCACAATTTGCCAAATAAGGTTACAATTTTTTGAGAAATATGTTTGTATAAATGAAAAATTCAAAAATTTAAATTTTTGTTGTGCACAAAATTTAAAAAAATTTCAAAATGTTACAACAAATTTTTGAAATTTTTATGCTATAAAAAATAAAATTGTGTTTAGGTTTAGTGCCAAATTTTTTGTTTCAAATTTAAAAATTATTTACATTACGTACGAGAATTGGAGTATTTTTGAATGCTGTTATTGCAATTTGCTATATACCAAGTTTAAATTTAAATCCCATATTATTGGTTTTAAATATTTAAATCTTTATTCTTCTTTATTTTTGAAATACGAAAATGATAATAAAATGATAAAATTTTGAGAATTTTTGCAATGGAGTATGCAGTATTTTTGAATTGGTGCAAATTATAAAATTAAAGTTTTTTTGAAATAAAGTTGATCTCTCAATTTAAGACGAACATTAGATTATACCCTTTCCGGAGGTCTTCAGAAACAGTATTTGAATTTTCTTAGGCTGGGGGGTATTCCATACCACCCAGTTTTCCTCAAAAAACTACATACAGGTTTTAAGGGATATACGATCTGGCTGGCTGAGAACTTAGCACGGGGGGAGGGGGGGGGGTCTGTAGCGGCATACGAAAGTTCGACAACCTCTTTCTGAAAGCTGCTAGAAAAACTCACCAGCGATTTAATAAATTTTAAAAAAAAACGAAATTTATTTTGTAATATTTTTTGAAAATTTTCTATTTGAATAGAATTATTTTAGTTACCTTGATTATGCTTTTATGGAGTAAATTCAGGTTTTAGTATTAAAATGGCGTTTAAATAATAATTTTTGTAGTTTTTAATAAAAAAATTACAATTACTCAAATAGTAAATCCATTTCCTGATTTTACATATTTTTTAATTTTTTATTGTAAAAAAAGCAAAATGATTAAAAAAATTGTTTTTATTTTGGTGTAGTAGAATTTGCAATTTTTTGTACGTGAAATTATAGAATTTATAAACTAAAGTTGCTGAATTTTTTGTTCTTTCAAAACTTAAAATCAATTAAAATGTTTTTGCTATTGCAACAAAATGCAAAAAAGTAGTTTTTGGAATTTTTATATTTGTTGAAATAAAAAAAATTCTTTTGTTCTAAGGAATTGCAGAAATGAATTTCCTGATTTTGAAGTTTGAGAAACATTAATACGAAATATTTTTATTTGGCGAATAATAAAATTCTATAAATATGCAAGGGCCAGTAAATTTTAATATCTATGAATTTTAGTTTATTTATTTTTTAGCAACTGTATATATATTTTTAATACCAATTTATTTTCAAATTTTTATGTAATAAAAATTGTGAAATTTTGAGAATTTTCAAGTAAATTTTACTTTTTAATATTTTTGAAATATGTTCAATTCAAATTTTTTATTTTACCAATTTTTGATAATAATTTTAAAAATCTAACGTTGGATATTTTTCTTACAGCGAGTGAGATTTAATTTAATCTTTTCAAAAAAGTCCATTTATTTCATTATTTTTTTTGTAATGAGTTTTGAATTATGGATTTTTGTGTGAATGTTGAAAATATAATTTCGATATATCTGAACTTGCAAAATTTGGAAAATTGAAGTTATTGTGCGTCTTGTTTTAGTTAAAAATACCTCAAAATGACGGATCCTATGATTTTTTAAATTTGTTTATCTAATATTCATTTTTTTGTCTAAGTTTTGAATTTCAATTAATTTGTAAAAATGTACGATGTACCATTGCCAATTATATTTTCTTATTTTTAAATTTTTGCAAATTTTTAAAAAGTACAAAATTCATTTTTTAAATATTTTTGACAAGTCTCCAAATGCAATTTTTAAGTCCTAAAAAAACTGCTAAAACATTAAATTATTTACAAATGTTTGAAATGGATTTTGAGAAATAGCATATGAAAATGTAGTTTTTTTTGTATTTTTTAAACCTTTTCTTGAGTAAAGAAGTTAATTTTTAGATTTTTCAAAATTTGATACAAAATATTTTTTAAATTTTTATTTTATAACAAATGAAGGTATTCTGTGATTTTCAAATTGCAGAATTTGCCAAATTTGAGAAATTTTTGTATATAAATGAAAAATTCAAAAATTAAAAAAAAATAACATTTTCAGAATAAGTTACAAATTTTTGAAATTTTTATGTCGTAAAAAATAAAATTTTATATGTTTAGGTTTTTTTTGAAAATATTAAAAATTGTTAAGTGCCAAATTTTTTGTTTCAAATTTAAAAATCATTTGTCATTACTCATTAGTCATTACTTACGAGAATTGTAGTATTTTTTAATGCTGTTTTTGCAATTTGCTATATCCCATACTGTTGGTTTTAAATATTTAAATTTTTCCAACTCCAATTCTTTATTTTCCAGATTTTTGAAATACGATAATGATAATAAAATGATAAAATTTTGAGAATTTTTGCAGTGTATTTGAATTTTCTTAGCCTGGGGGGTATTCCATACCGCCCAGACTCCCCGGGGCTAGGTTTTCCCTAAAAACCGGGGGATCTGTAGCGGCATACGAAAGTTCGATTACCTCTTTCTGAAAGCCGATAGAAAAACTCGCCACTCGATTTCATAAATTTTAAAAAAACGAAATTCATTTTGTAATATTTTTTGAAAATTGTTTATTTGAATAGAATTATTTTAGTTACTTGATCATGCTTTTATAGAGTAAATTTAAGTTTTAGTATTTAAAATGGTGTTTAAATAATGGTTTTTTTAGTTTTGAATAAAAAAAATTAAAATTACCCAAAGAGTAAATCCATTTCCTGATTTTAGATATTTTTTAATTTTTTATTTTAAAAAAAGCAAAATTATTTTTGGTCTAAGTGTAGAATTTACAATTTTTTGTACTTGAAATTATAGAATTTATGAACTAAAGTTGTTGAATATTTTTTGTTCTTTCAAAACTTAAATATAATCAATTAAAATTTTTTGCTATTGCAACAAAATACAAAAAAAGTTAATTTAATTCTAATTCTTTGAAACCAATTGAATTATTTTTTTCTTTATTTGTAGACTTTGTAAAATTAGATACATCTTCAAAGTCTTATTTAATGGTAAATGTAATTTTTTTAAGTTTTAGGAATTTTTTTATTTCTTGAAATAAAAAGAATTTCTTTTGTTCTAAGGAATTGCAGAAATGAATTTCCTGATTTTCAACTTTTTTTATTTAACGAAATATAATATTCTATAATAATGCAAGGATCAGTAAATTTTAAGTTTATTTATTTTTCGGCAACTGCATATATATTTTTAATACAAATTTTTATGTTCAAATTTTCATGTAATAAAAATTGTGAATTTTTGAGAATTTTCAAGTGAATTTTACTGTTTAATATTTTTGAAACAACCATTTTTTTCTAGTTTTGTTTTTTGAAATATTTTTAATGCAAATTTTTTATTTTACCAATGTTTGATATTTTTCTTATAGTGAGCAAAGATCAGTGTAGTATGATCTTTGTAGTGAGTGAGAAATTTTACATTTAATTTATTCCAAAAAGTCTATTTATTTCATAACTTTTTTTGTAATGAGTTTTGAATTATGAATTTTTTTGTGAATGTTGAAAATATAATTTAGATATTCTGAACTTTGGAAATTATTATGCATGATTTTTGAGTTAAAAATAGTTCAAAATGACGGATCTTTTGCTTTTTTAAATTTTATTTATCAAATATTTTTTAATCTAATTTCAATTTGTAAAAATGTACGATGTACCATTGCAAATTATAATTTCTTATTTTTAAATTTTTGCAATTTTTTAAAAATTACAAAATTCATTTTTTAAATATTTTTGACAAGTCTCCAAATGCAATTTTAGTATTTTTGCTATAGTTTCATGAAATTCATTTTTTTGGTTTTGAAATGTTTCAATTTGATATTTTTATGGAAGAAGACGTCGAGTGTGCGTCTTAAAAATCCAATTAACGTCCAAGCACATATTGAATTATCTGTGATGAAATGCTTCCCACGCATCCTCTCAAACTAACAATTTGCGTTCGTTTATTAACAACAATAAATAGCTCGAGTGCATGTCTTCTCATCGTTCCGTACACCGTAATTAGCCATTTAATTACGTACCACGCACACAACCATATTTATTAAAGGAAATGGTACGGCTAATAGGCCCTTATTCTTTTTTTTTTTTTGGTTGCGTAAGAATTGTCTATAATTTCGGTCTGTCGTCTTTTCAGGAGGAGCTTGAGATTTTACGTGCCAAGGTTGAGAAATTGGAGGCGGAACGTACGAGCTTGAAGCACGAGAATGACAAATTGGAGGCTAAGGTAAGTTGTTTAATTTGGATTGCACAACACAATAATTAAACAGCTAAAGGATGAATACAGGATCAAATCCTAATTTCATTTGTGCGCATGCGCAAAACCAACCAGTAGCGCCGCTATCCTAAGTATGCGCATGCGCAAAACCAAATCCACACTGTATAGCAATTATCCTTAAATTTTTGAAAATGAACAGTTAGGTAGAAAACCTTTTGAGTGGAAATCTAAATCGCCACGAATTTCGGCCATTTTTGTTTGCTCTGGTAACTTTTCAACAATATCTCGTTACATGCGTCACGTACTTTTAAATGAAATCGTCCGTAATTTGGCTTCGCTCGCGTTTAGTTCCACCACCGGGTGCGCCCGAAGAGTAAATTGGGCGAAATTGAAAACTTCCCGTTACACTCGCGGCGAAAGATGCCGAGTAATGGCCGTTATTGTTCCGCCACTTACTACGATTACTTACCACTGGCACGCCGTGTACGACTTACTACGATTACTGAATTAGTAAACGGGAGACGTTGACACTCTTAAAAAAACTGGCACAAAAGTTAATCGTTTCGTTAATTGTACATTTTTTTAATTACGTACTGAAAGTGTCAAAAGTTAATCGTTTCGTGTACGTTAATTAGTCTGTCGAAAATTCGGTCCATTAGTGTGGGAAGCCATTTCGGTATACCTACAGTGATCTATTAGACTAATAAATTACTTTTCTTTTTCCAACACGAACGTCCAATCTATTTTGCTGATGAGGCATTTTGTGCAACTTTCTAATTACTTAAACTTTTGATTGCGTTTCGACTTTTTCTGGCAAAAGAAATAATCGATTCGCCATTTAATCCCGTCGACTTTTTTGTTCGTTAAAAAAATCAGATCAACGAAGTACCCGTCCTTCTGCGTTGTCATATATGGTTTTAAAGGTAAGTTATATCATTTAGTGTTAAATTCGGGTAAAAGAAGTAATTAAGCCAAACCCATACTTTTGAAGGTTATTTTGGCCGCATTCACCGGATCAAATTCCAAAATTTTCATATTTAAATTAATATTTTTAAAGGTCTCTTTTGGTTTTAGTATTAAATTCAGGTACATACAAGAATTCACCTTCAAAATCTTAAAAAAAACCTGTATAATACCTTTCAAGGCTATTTTGGTCGCATTCACCTAATGAATTTCTACAATTTTCATATAAAAATTAATGTTTTTAGAGGTCTCTTTTAGTTTGAGTGTTAAATTGAGGTACATACAAGAATTCACCTTCAAAATCTTAAAAAAAAACCTGTATAATATCTTTCAAGGCTATTTTGGTCGCATTCACCTAATGAATTTCTACAATTTTCATATAAAAATTAATGTTTTTAAAGGTCTGTTTTAGTTTTAGTGTTAAATTCAGGTACATACAAGAATTCACCTTCAAAATCTTAAAAAAAAATGTTTAATACCTTTCAAGGCTATTTTGGTCGCATTCGCCTAATGAATTTCTACAATTTTCATATAAAAATTAATGTTTTTAAAGGTCTCTTTTAGTTTTAGTGTTAAATTCAGGTACATACAAGAATTCACCTTCAAAATCTTAAAAAAAACCTTGAAGGGTATTTTGGTCGCATTCACCTAATGAATCTCTACAATTTTCTTATAAAAATTAATGTTTTTAAAGGTCTCTTTTAGTTTTAGTGTTAAATTCAGGTACATACAAGAATTCACCTTCAAAATCTTAAAAAAACCTTGAAGGGTATTTTGGTCGCATTCACCTAATGAATCTCTACAATTTTCTTATAAAAATTAATGTTTTTAAAGGTCTCTTTTAGTTTTAGTGTTAAATTCAGGTACATACAAGAATTCACCTTCAAAATCTTTAAAAAAAACCTGTATAATACCTTTCAAGGCTATTTTGGTCGCATTCGCCCAATGAATTTCCATAATTTTCATATCAAAATTAATATTTTTAATGGTCTCTTTTGGTTTTAGTGTTAAGTTCAGGTACATATACAAGAATTCATCTTAAAAAACTGTACAATACCTTTGAAGGCCATTTTGGTCGCATTCACATGATCAAATTCTAAAATTGTTATATAAAAATTAATATTTTTAAAGGTGTCTTAAAAAAACATTATCAATAATCAATAAAATGACCTCAAAAACATTTCAGAATCATAAAGAACGTCATAGATCAAAGTAATTTTCCCAAAATTTAAAATCCCAAAATTTAAAAATGCCAAAACCTCAAAATCACAATTCGAAACTATTCCATTTCAACAAAATAAACGCGAACGATTTGCGCTAATGTGCAAATAATGCGGCCTTTTCGTGTCGACAAGTAAATCGCATGACATCGGAATTTTATTGTTCCCTCGCTTGATTGAGTCGCGCATTTGTTTTTGTTTTGCAATTATCTCAGTAGTTTTAAAACAAATCTACTTGATTTATTTGAGGAAATGGGATAAACAAGTAAGAAGAACGCAGACGGCGCTTTGGCACCGATCCAAAAACCGGCTAAATTGTATATTTGTCGGAATTTGTGTGATCGCTTTTAACAGCGAGTCATAACTAATTAATTATGCTAATTAGTGAAATAAATTAGGTTCTCAGTGTGCGGTTGCGTAATTTCAGTGGCCGACTATTGTGTTTTGTTCCAGTGACTTATTTTCTACATCGCGAATTAGAGATTAAGTGGAGCAGATCCGAGCTATAATTGCAATTCAGTTAGCTATTACCAACCGACGCACGCCGTTGAGCAAATTGGTTCAAATGTAACGCGACGAAATGCACGGAAAGACTTTAGTTGGTTTTTGGAAGGCGCAAATTCGGCACGTTCAATCATGTGCGCCAAAATTATGCGCAATCGCAATTAATGACCGAGAACTTAACCAGGTCGATAGAATGTTCGGTATACTCCGCCGATACATGCCAATACTTTTTTCTCATAGGACGGCGCAGAGAAAAAAGTAAAAAAACAATTCTGGTAGCCAGCGGCGCATAATTGGCGCCTAATTCTTAAAAAAATTGAAAATTTGGGCTTTGTTTATTTTATTATTATATTATTTTTGAATTCTTTATATTTGAAATGCTGATATTTCTTTATAAAAATTTTCTCTAAAATTTTGAGTTTTTTTGGATTTTATATTTTACCTTGGACGCAGATTTTTTGAAACTTTTTGACATGATATTCGCGTTTCTGAACAAAATTTTGAAAGTTTTGAAATTTTAAATTAAAAACTCGAATATTTGAAAATAAAAACGCACATTTAAAAACACAAAAAATGAAACAGTTACTTGAAAAATAAAGAAAATAGAATGGTGGGCTTCAAACAGGTTTAAATTTTGAAAATTTTGGAAGTTTGCTATAAAAACTCGGACCAGTTAATTTTTGAAAATAGAGACATGTTGAATTAACAAAAATAAAATGCACATTAAAAAATATACAGTTTTCTTGAAAAAACTGGGGGGTTCGGATTTTAAAGCAGTAAAATTTTAAATTCTGAAAATTTCAAAAGTTTAATTATAAAGAATTCCAAAATTTGAAAATAAAAACACATTTTGAAAAATATAGATATTTCTGGTAGAAGGTTAGGCTTCCAATATTAAAGCTGCAAAAAAGTTTACATTTTCGCAATTTTAAAATAAAAACTCATATATTTCAAATTTAAAATACTCACATTTAAAGAGATATGGAATTAATTAATTAAAAATTCTTACTCAAATATTAGTCGCAAAAAATGTTAATTTAATTTTAAAAATTCAGGCACTTTTAAAAATATACTTATAGTAGTTTGTAGCAGAATAAAAAAACTTGGAATCGTGGGCCTCAATTATGAAACCCGCAAAAGGATTTTAAGTTTTGCAAATTTCAAAATTTTAAACTAATAACTCGAATATTTGAAAATAAAGAAACAGAACGTTGAAGTCTAAGTTTTTTGATTTTGCGAAAAACTTTTAATTTTTAATTAAATGTGTCTTTTTTTTAAATACCTATTTCAAAATTTGTAGTTTTTTTTGCAGCTGTAATATAGAAGAATATACGAGTAGAGGTTTCTTAAAGAATTAAAAAATTGCTTGACAATCAAACAAAAATTACAATGGTGGTCGAATGTTAATTGAATAGGGGGAAACAAGTAGTATTTTTGGTGTACACCAAAAATTCAAATTCAAATTAGATTCAAATTAGTTCACATTAATTCAAAATAATTCATGTAAATTCAGGTTAATTCCCATTAATTAAGGTTAATTCACGTTAACTAAGATTAATTTACGTTAATCAAGATTATTTCACGCTAATTCAAATTAATTCACGGTAATTCAAATTAATTATACGTTAATTCAAATTAATTATACGTTAATTCAAATTAATTATACGTTAATTCAAATTAATTCCCGTTAATTCAAAATAATTCAGAGGGGTGTACACCAAAAATTGTTGTTTCCCCGTAGGTTAAAGCCGCAAAAAATTTTAAAATATTGAAATTTTAAATGAAAAACTCCAACATTGAAAATAAAAAAAAACACAACGTGTGAAGTCTATAATTCCAGGTTTTTTGATTTTACGATTTTGTTTTATTTTTAAATAAGAGTTTTTTTATTTTGATATATTCGAAATATTTCAAAAATTTTAATTTTTTGGTGGTTTCAAATTCAAAATTCGAATATTTGAGAAAAGAAAAATGCACATGTGAAACTTCTTGCAGAATCAAAAAACTTGAAATTGTGCAACGCTTCAAACATTCAAGTTGCAAAAAAAATGTGAATATATCAAAACAAGATAAAACATTGAAACATTTGAAAATAAAAACGTACATTTGAATTATACTTAAATATACGGGGTGTTTAAAAAAGGTCCGATATTTTATCCACGTATAGTATTCATGAAAAGAAACCAAAAAGACAAAAAAACAATCGAACTTAGTAACACGATCCTGTGGAGTATGGAATACTTTACAGGAAAGGAAGTTTCGTCTGTCCTTTTCTAAAAACTATCATGAGTGTCTTGAAGGCTCGGTGGTAGAACGTTGTAA